GGGGAGGAGGGAGGGGAGGAGATGGGGGGAAGGGGGAGAGTTGGGAGGAAGAGAGAGAGAAGGAACTTCGGAAGGTGGCAAGGAGGAAAGGAAGGAGAGAGAAAGGGAGGACGGGGACGGGGGAATTTGCAGCAAGGACGCGGCATGAAGTTATGTAGAGATACGTAGACAAAGGAAGAGAAAGAATCAGTTCAAGAGGGTAGGTATGGTTCAGGTCAGCAGCACGCAAGTAAACGAGGCGAAAAAACATTTTGTGCCAGGAAGCTGTGTGACTTTTGTGCTGTGCAAAGAGAGAACACAGAGTTTTGACCAAAATCTTTTGAGAAATTTGTTCATTCCAGAAACTCATTGGGCAGCATCATCACTCCGCTCGTCAAAACATTGTTGCTCTGAGAGTAAACCGCCGCAGCGTTCATCCAGCACTTCTATATACAAATCTGAGAAGAATGTTTTGGTTGGATTACACTCAGAACTTCTCTTGTTCCCCGATCCCAACCCCAGTTCCCTTGCACGAGGAAAAAAAAACTCAAACCAATGGTATCGTCACCAGATCTTCCTCCTTTACGCACTATCTCTCTACTCGCCTACTCCCTTTTCTTTCTCTTCCTCCCTGCTCCCTGTGAAGTTGATTCAAAGATGATTCTTCTTTCCCCTCGTCCTCTCAGCCCCCCTTTCCCCTCACCTCCCTTTTCATGTCCTCACCCACGATCTCCCACTTTCTTCTCACTCTACCTACACTTACCTGCTGCTGCACTCCTTGCTTGCTTTCCTCTACCTTCCTCTCCATCTCCTCCCTCCTCTCCCCTCCCTTCCGAACCGCCTCCCATGGTATCCCAACTTGACTCTGAGTCACCAACCCTCACCACCCTACCACCCTCAGACTATTTTGACTGGAGTTATGCACCCGTGTTATAGATACCCCTACCCCCCTTTTACCACACATTTTATCTGTTTCTCACTGTATCGATAACTACCCTACCCTCGAGACTTTATCAATCCACCCTACCTCCCTCCACGGGAAAGTTATTTACATGATAATCGGACGCGAGAGCCTCTCGACGGCGAGCAACGAGTGGGAGAGAGGAGGGAGGGAGGAGATGAAGGCATGGGAGCAGAGGTGCAGGGCAGGGCAGGGCAGGGCAGGGTAGGGCAGGGTAGTGTGCACCAACGAAGATCACTTCCCGTTCAGCAAGTAGAGATATTGCTGACTTCAAGTACAACACATGATGTAGTGACTCTCAACTGCGAGGGCAGGGGTTCTGTTGCTGGCCGATGATACTGAGAGCCCGGCATGCCCTTGTAATCGTCCTTCTTTGTTTACCGAGCCTTCAATGGTATTTGAGTGCACCATTCCCTCCCAGCAAGCTGAATGTTCTGTCAGCCTTGAGTTCGAGCATGTGAAACTCAAATCAAGGTGTCTTGATGGATCCCCTGCTGGTATGCCAAGATTGCACAAGACATGATCTTGGTGCATCATGCTGACAGGCTGCTGCTAGGATTCTACATCAGCAAGCATTCTCCTTCGGATTCATGGACGGTGACGTGATTAGCGTTCTTATTCTCGGAACTCGCCGATGTTTTCTTGTCAGATCTACCTGGAAGATGGAGGCTGGTGTTTTGACCAAGAGGAATGCCTTGCCAAGTCTCAGACTGACTCAGGGTCGAGTAGTAAGTGAAAGGGAGATTTGAATGAGCGATGTTGACAGCTGTCTTGTAGGAGACTGGCCTGCAGCAAGAAACAACCTCGGCGGAGTAGAATCTTTGCTGCTAGTGTGTATGTCTTGCTGATCGTTGTGACTGTTTCCAGATTCTCAGCGACTCGACATCAGACAATCCCGACCTCAGCGCATGGAACAAGGTTAGGAAGTTCTTGTTAGCCTGGACATTGATCGATGACGCCATTGTTTCTTTAAGGTCGTCATTCCATCTTGCGACGGGAGTTCCCTCAGTAGCACAGCATCACAAAGCATCATTAACTCTACTGCTTCGGTCTGGCTCGAAGGCCTCAACATCTTTGAAGAAACCATCTCGACGCTGATTGCGAGCCAAAACCTGGCAAAGGCACAGCAGGTGAAAGCAGAAGCATACAAGAGGGATTTTTAGAGTTGCACACGGAGAAAAGTTCGTATTTCTGTCCCTTCTATGTACTTCTATCTCACCCTTCCCTGCATTGGCGATCGTCGAAATTCCCCTCTTATTGCCATAGGACTAACAAAGCAAACCTCCTGAGGAAAACCTACACGCTCACAAGACTGATTTAGAATACAGATCATACTGGCTGGCAGTGGTTCGGGAGGACTTGCAGTTGGACTGCACCTGGACCGGTTGGAAAGCAAGGTAGACTCAGGAAAGGCTTGTAGCTTCAAAGGAACTGAGTGTGCACAAATAGATGAGGGGGGAGAGCAACTTTCAAGGACTCTTGATAGGACTTTCTGATTCAGCCTTCCTGCCCAGCCTGAACAGCCACGTAATGGCTGGGGTAGCTGAGAAGTTCAGAGAAGCAAAACGATTGTGGCAGGAAATATTCTGGCCTTTGATCTGCCTGCCGCCCGCTCACTTCATTTCCCGCAGCCTGTCGTACCCGAGATGGGATGCAACATGGGGGCGAGGGAAGAATGGCGTTGTTTGTTCATGCAGGAAATCACCAAGAAGATAAGGAATCCGTTGTACGTCGTGCAGTCAGGATATGATTGCGAGCACCTAAAAGTAAGATTGATGATGATGGATGATTGTTCGTTGTTGTTGATATGATTGTTCGTTGTTGTTGATAACCCCGGTCTGCTATCTTTGATGATCAGTGTTGATGTTTGCGATGACAGGACTCTTGAGATGATTGGTGGATTACAAAGCTTGCATGATGCTGATGGTCATGACTATAGCACTATGATGTTTCATATGATCGATGATGTATGAAGGTGATGATACTCAATCTGAGTTTCTTCTATAGCTGGCGTTGGGTATTTCCAGACAAATGTTCAACGGGACAGGACGGAAGAATCTGACACAAGTGACAATCGAGGTGGAGGTGGAGCTTTCAAACCCTTCTCACACTTGTATGACTCCCTCGATATGGCAGAACGCTACTCCATCAGATGCTGTCAGACCCAACGGCAAGGTGTTGCTGTAAGAAGTGTGTTGACTGACAACAACCGCAACAGAGCAGCAGTTCTTGAAGGAATGGGCAGAGGCTCTCATGGAGGCAACAAGGCATGTTCAACAATCTGCAACGCAAGGGATCTATATCAACAGAGGGCCATACCACAACCAGATCACTTCAAATGATGTACTGTGCATCGTTCTTATAGTTTGATTGGCAGTATAACGCTATTGTTATCAGATGTCACTGATGGCGAGCGAGCATGGTTTGCAAGAGTACTTCAAATTTGCAAGCGACGGGATGTGCAACTTTCGTGGGAGCTGGTCCAAAGGTTTCGTGCGGGCTGGATGCCAACGTATCACCCTCAAGGTTTGATCGCGAGAGGATTTCCTTCCTTCCCATCCTCTCCTCGTCATCTCTGTTTCTCGGCCCTCCTCCTCATCATCATCATCAGCGTTGTCCTCATCACCATCGTCACCAACAACAACAACCTTCACATCATCATCACCATCCCAACTACCATCCTCTTCATCATCACCATCATCATCACTACCTGCAGCAGAAGAAGCAGCACCAGCATCTCTGACTTTGTGTATCGTGTGAACATCTACTCTCAGTCTTATTCGTTTTGTATCTAGGAGTCTTTCGGCGATTGGTACTTCTCTTTCTCATGGGCTGGCGAGAAGGCAGAGTATGCAACGGTCGATTTTCCTCTACTGCGTTATCCCTCATGTACTGATGAGACCGCAGGTCGTCGGGGACCTCAGCATGATTAACTCGGGAGAGAAAACGTGTAAAGCATGATAGGCGTGAAGACCAATGAATAATGAATCAGAATTTTAAAAACAACCCGTGATGTTTACAGGCTACATGAGAGATCTGTGTGATATATACACGTTACGTGGGAAATCTATGTGATATGTACAGGCAAGATGGGAAATCTATCCCTGATACAACCCCTTCTCCTCCTCCTTCCTCTTCCTACTTCCTCCACATCTTACATCCCAACAAACTCTTCTTCCCTTCCTCGTCCTTCTTCCACTGCCATCTCCCTTCTCATCGCCTCCTCCTACTGCTCCTACTCCTATTCCTCCTCCTCCCCCTCCTCCTCCTCCCCTTCTTCCACTTGCATTTTGCAACCCTAAAATCGTTCGTCCTACGTTGGTTTTTTTCGAATATAAACGGGTAGGGGTACTGTATAACCCATACTCTTTAGGCCACTAAAAGCTTGAAAGGTAGGGTACATTGTCAACACCTTTATTGTTTCAAAATTGGGGGTGGGGGTGGTAAGGGTTCGGTCAACGGTTAGGCGTTCAGGCAATGCTAGGCAGGACGACGGCGGCAGGAGAGGGAAGGAGGACGGGGAGGGAGGGAGGGAGGGAGGGAGGGAGGATGAGGAGATAGATGATGACGGAGAGAAAGGAACAGGAAAGGATGCAAGAGAGGGGGGGGTGTGGGCAACAAGGGTTGTGAATAGCAACCACAGCTTAGCAGGAATCAGAACAATTTGGACTGAAGGGCTGTGTGTGCAAAATTTCAAGGGCTCAAGGCAATGACGGCGACAGAGGGATGTAGATATTTACGAATGAAGTAGACGATCACAGGGTGGGATGATATCTGCAACTTGATCTAGAGACGCATGACTTTATGAGAAGAAGGAACTGAGTGAACGGGTATGTAGGTAGCGGTAGGCTGAAAGAGTCCGGTGCAACATAGCTGTGAGAGGAGTTGTAAATGTGCTCATGTATTTTCTTGTTGCAGGTGGCGCTCTTGCAATCATTATGCGGCATGAGGCTTAAACTGCACAAGCAAGTCTGAAAGCAACAAAGCGTTACTCTAGAGCCCTAGTGCGAGGAAGCACTCCAAGGGCATACAGGAAGGGAGGAGGAGGAGGAGAGGGAGAGGGAGCAGGAGCACAGAGCTGCTACAATGGCGGCGCTTCTGTTGAGACACTACTTCGGTATCAAGGGGGACGTGCGCGAGCCGGTATGCTATGTCGACGAACAGACGGTCTTGTACGCTGTTGGGCACAACGTCTGTATCTTCAACCTCGAGCAGAGGATACAACGATTCCTCCCTGGCACCGACAAGACTGAAGAGATCACGGCGCTGGCCGTCAGCCCGAACAAGAAGTTCGTTGCGGTCGCTGAGCGCCATGATGAGGGAGTTATCACGATCTTCGACCTCCACACGCTGAGGAGGAGGAGGCTGCTGACGGCGACAGGCTCCAACTCCAAGGAGTTTGTGTCCCTGTGCTTTTCGCCAGACTCGAAGCTGCTCATGGCGCAGGGAGGGGCTCCAGAGTGGAACCTCACCATCTGGACGTGGGAGACGGCAAAGCCTCTGGCGACAGTGAAGACAGCCGTGTCGCCGAACTCGGTCATGTACCAGTGCAGCTTCAACCCTTCGGACAACCACCTGATTGCCGTGACGGGCAACGGAGTTTTCAAGCTGTTTAAGCTCACTGAGTCCAACCTGAAGCTGCTGCAGAGCCCTCTGGGGAAGCGAGAGGCGCAGAACTACCTGTGCCATTCGTGGGTGAGCGAGGAAAGGCTGGTAGTTGGAACCGATACTGGGGACCTGCTGGTAGTAGAGGGAGGGGAGCTGAAGGGATTTATTGCCCGATCGCCTGCTGACTCGAACTCGATCGAGTCGATCGTGGGCTTCTCCAAGGGGATAGTGACAGGGAGCGACGACGGCAACCTGGCGATCTACGACAAGACAGAGGACAAGGATATGTACAGGAGGTCAAAGGTCTTTTCCATCGACAACAACGCTGTCAAGATCCGGCACCTGACAGTCAGCCACACGGAGGAGCAACTGCTGTGCGCTACGGAGAACAACCAGCTCTTCTCCTTCGCGCTCAGCAACGTTGACATCATGAAGCCGGAGGAGAAGAACATCGACTTTCTCGCTACCTCCTTCCATGCCGGGCAGGTGACGGGGGTCGACACTTGCATCCGGAAGCCGCTGGTGGCCACTTGCGGGCTGGACAAATCAGTCAGGATCTGGAATTACATGGACAAGACTCTTGACCTGACCAAGTTCTTCAACGAGGAGGCGCATAGCATCGCTTTCCATCCCTCCGGCCTTCACATCCTGGTGGGTTTCAGCGACAAGATGAGGCTGATGAATATCGTTATGGACGACATCCGGCCGTTCAAAGAGTTTGCGATCAAGGCGTGCAGAGAGTGTAAGTTCAGCAACGGAGGTCACATGTTTGCAGCCGTCAACGGCAACACCATCAACATCTTTGCTACCTACACCTGCGAGAACTTGGGGAACCTGCGAGGTCACAATGGCAAGGTCCGGAGCCTGTGCTGGTCCGCCGACGACACGATGCTGACCTCTTGCGGGATGGACGGGGCCTGCTACGAGTGGAACCTCAAAGACTACAAGAGGATAGGAGAGAACGTGCTGAAGAGCTGCAACTACACATCATGCGTCTGCACCCCTGACGGCAGGACGACGTTTGCTGTGGGAAGCGACAAGAAGATCAAGGAGATCTCTGAATCGAACATCGCCAAGGAGTTCGAGGCTGGGGGCCAGCTCATGACGCAGGTCTGCCTGTCTCACTCGGGGAGGATGCTCTTCACCGGTGGGGAGGACGGAACCGTGCAGAGTTGGAAGTTCCCGCTGTCGTCGGAGTACCAGGAGTTCCTGTGCCACTCTAGAGCTATCACGAGGATGTGTATCACATACGATGACTCCCATCTGTTCTCTGTGTCGGAGGACGGCTCGCTGCTGATCCTGGACGTGCGGGACAAGGAGGTCAGGGGGTCGAAGAAGGAGAAGGAGATCTTGCCGTTCTCTGAGGAGATCCTGGTCACCAAGAGCGACCTGGAGGAGAAGACAGCCCACATGGTTGACCTGAAGAACAAGGTCGACGAGCTCCACACGCACACTCAGTACACGATCCGACTCAAGGAGAAGGAGGCCAAGGACAAGCTCACGCAGCTGACTGAGAAGTACAGCAGCGAGCTGGAGGGAGAGAAAGCGAGGTGCGAGAGCCTGATCACGGAGAAGAGCGAGATGGAGATGGAGTATGAGGAGAAGATCAAGAATATTGAGGAGAGGCATGCTGCTGCTGTGCAGCAGATGGAGGCGCAGTACCAGCAGAAGATCATGGCGGAGGTGGAGCGGTATCGGCAACTGTCGGATGAGAAGGAGCTCTTGAACGAGCGATGGGACGAGCAGAACTCGCTGCTGGTCGAATCGCACGAGCGGCTCGTGCAGGAGCTGACGGACGAGTACGAGTACAAGCTGCAGGAGGAGCAGCTTGCGCTTCAGCGAGTGAGGGACGAGAAGGAGGAGCTGATGAGGGAGCTGGAAGAGACAAGGAAGCAGGTGGAGGAGGACGCAGACCAGGAGATCGAGGAGCTCAAGGACAAGTACGAGTCGAAGCTGGGGGCAGAGAGAGAGCAGCACCTTCGGCTGAAGGGAGAGAACGGGATCATGCGGAAGAAATTCCATGCGCAGCTGAAGGAGATAGAGGCGGCCAAGGACGACAACAAGAAGCTGGTGACAAGGCAGAAGGAGCTCTACCACCAGATCTCGATGCTGGAGAAGGAGATCTCGGGGCTGAAGAAGGAGATCAGGGAGAGGGACGAGACGATCGGGGACAAGGAGAAGAGAATTTACGATCTGAAGAAGAAGAACCAGGAGCTGGAGAAGTTCAAGTTCGTGCTCGACTACAAGATCAAGGAGCTCAAGAAGCAGATTGAGCCGCGCGAGCTCGAGATATCCGACATGAAGCTTCAGATCAAGGAGATGGACAACGAGCTTGAGAGATACCATAAGCCAACAGGTCTTGCT